TTTATATATATATATATATAGTTTCATGTTTCATGTTCTTGGACTTTTTGGACTGAACCTGTGAATCGATTCCTTTCTATTTTCAATTTTTAAATCCATCGATCTTTGTTAATTATTTTATATTTTACAAACACCCCACATGGTGGACAGCTCCCCACTAGATGTTGAATTATACAGTGTACAAAATTGACCGACTGTATTTGCAGGCAGTTGTACGACTGTTGTTTTCATGTGTCCATCTTTTGCTGATATGTGTGTGAGTGTGTGTTCGCCTGCAGCAAAGTTAGCCCATGTATGCTCCACAGCCACAGATGTTAGCATTAGTCCAGAGGACACAGTAAACTGGGTAACATGGTTTGATGAAAGTTCAGGCAATGCCAATGTGAACAATGTCAAATCCTATGACTCATTCTTTGCCCTGTGGTCCATACCACAGACAAGAGCACAGAGCACATGGTAGTGATCCTTCAGTGTTTATCAGCATAAACGTATGCGCTGTTTCACACACACACACACACACACACACATACACAAGAAACAAAGGCGTTGCTACCAGGGATGATTTAAAAAATTTCCTCTGCGTAGAAATCCACGTATATACAGTAATTGGGCTCCACCTCCGCATTGTGTGCAGAGCATCTCGCTCTATCAATTAGACCCCCGAGCTATTATTACATGTGACATTTTGTGTCATTGAAGAGAGACACACCCTAATGAGCAGATCTTGCTCTTATGACAAGGAAATGTGATTTATATTAGATGGTAGCAGAAGCACGAATTTCCATCCGTGCTTCTTTTAATTTCAACCTCCTCTTCAGTTCTCCTTATATGCAGGTGACCTCTCAATAGGCAGTGTAAAGTGATAGTGTATAGGGTGCACACACACACTGTGAACGCCCAGCTCGCTGCAGAGATTGACACGTTTCACTGTCAGCAGAAAATATATGGTTGCTCTTGGTAGCTGTGCCATGCTTGATGGTTAACAACAATACCACAAATACCCCAGTGGTTCTGCATTTTCTGTGTGGATAGTTTCAAAGTAAAAACTTTATTTTCCTGGTATTGCTTTGAAAAAAAAGGGTCTTAGGAGGAGAGGTGATATGTCAGTGCCCATGAGCCACAGTGTGCAGTAGTGGTACTGACCCCTAATTACTCCCAATACTCACACGTTTGGTGTACTCCTCAGAAGGGCCAATTAGAAGGGCAGGGCAAGTCACAGGGTGGGAAAAAGTCAGTGCTGAAGTTAATACCAGAGAGAGAGGGTTTCTAATAGAGACCTCTGCTGTAGGATTACAATAATTAATTTCCTGTAAATAATTAAGAACTTTAGCTTCAATGACATTGACTTGAATACTTGTATAAAGTCAATTTTACATTTTTCATTCACAGTGCACGTAATGTTAGGGTTTGAATTGTTTATTTAACATAAATGACTTATGTCACCGTCATCAGACTCATTTCTTTTTGACTTGACCAACTTCCCAAAAAGATTGAAACTTTTTAAAATTTAGATTAAAAAATAAATTTGCTCTCTGGGTTTTCACTCCACAAATATAATTATATTTATCAAACAAAAAAATATCCAGTGTTTGACAGGAGCAAGTTCACAAGTATACAGCTTTCCATATATACAGCTATATTTCAACATTGTCCAGTTGCAATTATCTGATTATCTGATACATACTCAAAACATCTGGACTGCAGGCAGGCCGGGTGGGTAGACACCTGCTGTGGATAGATGCTGATAAGCCTGCCTCTTTGCCATCACCAATAAGACAAACTGTTGAGCCATTTAACTACTAAACAAAACAAACACGAGCTTATTATCGCTAACTGAGGAATCTCCCAAAATGTCCACATACACTTTGGTGTACTCAGCTGTGGAAATGAACTAAAACCTAAAATGTTTTAATACAACTGAATATAGTTTGCCAGCAAAAAAAAAAAAAAAAAAAAAAAGCAACAACAAAACAATCTTAAACCTGTGAATCCCTTAGCTTTTATGTCTGCAGACCATCTCTGCTTGAAGCTAAAACACAAAACCAGGACAGTTTTTCTTTTAATTGATATATTCTTAAGGTTGTTAGGCTCTCAGCCCACCTCAGCCCCCTCTCTCTCTGTATTAAAAATATCTGTGGTCATAATAAATATTCTTACAGACCAGACAACACAAAACACAATTACACTGTTATTCTGCCCTCACCCACATTTGATGAATAATAATATGAGAACTCACAGTGTTTACCGTATGGTATACTTTGTTTACACTGCATTTCTTTTGCTCCGCTCATAACCATCTATCAGAAATGCATATTTGCTGTACTGCTGCTTACTTTGAGGACGCCAGCAGGAGTAAGCACTTATAATGTAGGGCCTGCATCTGTGAATATAAAGCCCCCGGTTTTGTGTATCTCTGCATGATCAAGGAGAGTTAAGGCACCGGTGCGTGTGTGTGTGTGTGTGTCTGTGTAGAGAGAGCGGGAAAGAGAGAGTGTGTGTGTTCTCTGCCCAGGTGAAAAAACAACAGGGAATAAAAGATGCCAGCAAACAGAAGGGATTGGCATTGGATAAATCTAGAATTTCTAAAATGACAATTCAATTATCCACATCAAAAATGTCAAACAAATGTCATGGCCGCATCCACTATGGTTAGGTTGCAAAAATTTATAAGGAATGAATCAAAGCAATGAGGGAAGTGAATAAAACATATTAAATTGTTTTTTTATTTTAGTGATTTATTTTTCTTTCATTTTGGTTACAATTTGCCAAGTAATTCAATATTTCCCCATTGGATACAATGCAATTCCTGCATGTATTCCCGATGCTCGAGCCTCATTACGGAAATATGACATTATGTCCTTTTTAACGGTGACCCAAAATACCACATCCTGACGTATCACATTAATTACGAATTGCATGGGCTTGAATCTGCTATATGCGGGAATCTGGCGTCGTAATCAGTTCATAATTAAAACAGTAAAGTGCACAGTTCTGATTTAATTTAATATCCAAATAATTTCCAGGGAATGGGAGAGCATTGCGTCAGGAAGGTTTTCTTCTGCATCATCATGCAGCCAGAACAAAGGATAGGCGCATGGTAAAAATCATGCAAATGAATGCAAATCGCTGCCAGCAAGGAACAGCGAGGTGGCAGGAGGAGAGTTTATAAGCAGAGGGTTGTGTATTCAATGCTTGCTTGACAATCTCGGTTTAAGTTGTGGCCAGTAGCTGAAAATATATTGGTTTTGAATCTTAGTCTAAATCTTATCACGAAACTTTGTTTTCCTTGGCTTATTTTCCCTCATGCAGGAGATTTCTGCGTTGAACCAGAACTGGTCCTGTGTTGTTTCTCTCTCAAACAGATTTGTTTTTCATTTTTAGTTGTTTATTGAAATATTATAGCAATGCAAAAATTGGTCCTCAATTATATGAGATCACCTGTGATGCTGTGTAAATGCAGCACAGTGGGATTGTGTCCCTGTGTGTGTGTGTGTGTGTGTGTGTGTGTGTGTGTTTGCATGATACAACACCTTTGACTGTAGCACAGCAGAGAAATGCAGAACAGATCTTTACCGCGACGCTAATGAAAGTGACTGCTCTCTTACCAGGAACACCTCCAGCTCCAAAAGACACGTGGCACTGCTGTAATTATCTTCAGTTACTAGGAATTTAGGTGATGAAGGCCCAGGTCAGTCTCAACCTGAAATAAAAAATGGGAATTATATACTTTTATTTCCTTTGTTACTACACCACAGTGCAGTTACTGCATTATCACAGATGCATCCACTTGAGTATTTGCCTCGATGATAAATTTTACAGTGTATAATGATTCCTTTAATTAATAATCGAAACTTGTAAGTATACTGTGCTGTTTCATATGCTATCCATTCCATATTAACTCAATGATATAATGCAAGTGGAATGTACAGATATATTCTAAATTATCCAACCATATCTTTATACATCATCTGAATCACTTTGCCGAAGCATCAATTTTTCCTCCAAATTAATTCCTGGAGGATCACGTCCCTCGACGCAATGCTGATATTAATGCAGACAGGGTTTATGCAGAGAGTCCCGGTTCACAATAATCAGTAAGTTGTCTCAAGTTGCATAAAAAACACATCAGATTTAAATAGTGCCGCCCTCTCTCAGACATCACACCCACACAAACAAGTGGACTAAACCGCAGACACAATACGGTAGGGGTAAAAGAGGAGGGTGGTTTGGAGGGGGTGGGCACGCAGACAGACATTCACAATTGTGCATAATGATGTTAACATTCCTGCATGTCTAATGCAGGGGAATATTGAGGCAGACACGAGACCGGTCGGCAGTCCTGCTGCTGTGTTCTTGGGTATAAAGTGAATCAGAGCATAATTGGGGCCTGCTCCTCCTCCTGCTCCTCCTGCTCCTGCTCCTTGTGTTTGTGCGTCATGCTGAGGCTAGTATGAGGCTTTGATGAGATTGTTAATCTTATACAAGTTCCCATCACATTTCATTTTGTAGCCTGTGCCAATTTGGAGGGGGGGAAAGCCAGTGCAATTTTAGCAAGAGATGATGTTAATTTTGGTACAACTAATCCTAATTTATAAAATGTGATATGCTGGATTGTTATTCCGTGACAGTGGCCAGGATTTCACAAAACAGAATTTGAAACACACTTATTTTCAAAATGACATCCAAAACTAGCTGGGCCCTGATGCTGCTTCCTAATTGAAACACAATGTCAAATGTCAAGTGATATTCCAATACTTTCATATCATTATATTTTTAATTTGAATGAATTAAAATGGTGGAAGCAAAGTGTCCATGAAAATGCAGCGCTGGCTTCATAAGAGATGGAAACAAAGAGGGACAGACGGTATACACTGGGAAAGGCGGGCCAAAGATGAAGCTCATTTTTTTTTCACTGGGCACCCAGTGGCGTCTGCAATGCAGATCGCTGAAATCTCTCTCGAATGCG